TTTCCCCAAAGCCCCAGTAGATAGTTGTATGTTATAGTTGCACATCCTTCTAGTTGCTGTATTGGGACGCCACCTCAGCATGGCTTGACAAGTGATGCGTCAGTGCGCACCCGGGATCTGAACCCAGGCCGCCAGTAGCGGAGCGCGCACACTTAACTGCTAAGCCACAGGGCCGGCCCTCTTTTGTATTCTTTATGTTCTATTCATAATATATTTCAATACTTATGTTTTCAATTAATTGAAATCAACAATCACATTTATATAATGTGTAATATTAATTTTGTTAGGTCAGTTGAAAAAGGCAAATTTAGTAATTGTCTTCTTTTTCCTCTAGAATGTTTTCTAGTATAAACCTCTCAGATTTTAACCTTCCACTTCATCTTTTCCATGTAGACACAGTGAGTTGAATCTAACTTGATATTTGCATATTAGTACATATGGAGACAAAAAAATAACACTCTCGTTTAGTTTAATTTTTTTTTTACAAACAAATGTGCAAATCATTAGATGTGCTTTGTTTTCTCTATCAAATTCCAGGAAGTACATGGAGAGGCACAAAGAGAGAGTGTTTTCAAATTACAGAAGGATTACCATATTAGTAATAATAACAGCTAGAATTTGTTTAGATTTACTATACCATTGATCCTCTTCTATCTGCTATGCACATATACCATTCAACACTCCCGGAAACCCAATGAGGTGTTGTCACTTTTTTCTGCAACTTGTTCATGGTCACACAGCTACTAAATAGTGCATCCTAGATTTGCATGCATATCTACCTGATTTCAAAGCTTATGCTATTTCTCATACACATCATTCGTTAATTCTGTTAAGTTGTCCACTCACATAAGCAATTGCTAGAAAACCATGAGGCAACAATCTCAGCTATATAAGAAGAGAAAATCAGATATTCCATCAGAGATTCTGGCTCAAAGAAGAGTTGGTGAACAGGGCTGACTATAGTAACAACCTTTATTTTTTCACTATTTTTTCACTCCTCCTCCAGGGGAGGATAAGTCTTGACTTCAGATTGCAATCTCTCAGGAATGGATGAGTAGAGTTTCCATGTAAAGGAAGCACTTCCCTGATTATTCTCCAAAAAGGTAACCTTTTCAGATTAGCTCAACAGAGCCACAAAGAATCAGGATACTGCAGCCTAATGTGACTTGTTAAGGACTATGGATAAAGGCAACCTGAACCCATGAACCCATTTTTGTTGTTAGTGCCACTGAGTCGATTCTGACTCCTAGTGACCCTGTGCAGGAGGGCTGAACTCTGCCCCATCTTTTTGCACCATCCTCTCATCTTCTGGTGCTATAACAGACAGTGCTCAACACACAGAGCCACCGCAGTATGACAACCCACAGATGAGTGTTGTGGGTCTCTGACAGGAAACAAACCCAGGCCTGTGGCAGAGAGAGCAGCAAATTTTAACCACTAGACCACCAGGGCTGGCTGAATCCACTTTGCCTGAAGTAAACAGAACTGACTCATGCCATGTTGCTTTAACTATCAAAAAATGACAAAATTTCCAAAATATTTTTCACTGTATTCTTTTTTCTACAAAAGTGAAAGATTATCAATATCATATTATTCATTGATCTTAGGTTTAATCTCATGATAAGTTTCAAAGAAAACAAAGAAAAATGTTTCTTAAATATAACCAATATTTCTCAAACTGGTATTCTAATTATTAATCAAAATAATGAGTCATAGTATCTGAAATGTAGAAATGAAACATGGGTTGTAGATGTATGCACATTAAAACTTAAACCAACAAACAAAATAATCCTGTACTCAGAACAGCAAAAGATGTTGTTTCATGGAAAATCAGGACAGTAGAAAACTAGCAGTTGGATATCTAACTAGAATATAAAACTTAATAGCCAATAGTAAATAAAGAATGGCATACCTAGCTTTGCAATACTATTCACAGATATACTCCTAAACATAAGTTTCAACATTTACAAAAATCTATTCTAATAATGCATTTTAAGTGAGTAACTAGAGATGAAAACAATAATTCCATTTTATACTTAACATTGCCATTTGTTTTAAAGTATGGATATTTCAGAAAATACCAACTACCCTTCAGTGAAAGCCAGTTATAGTAAAACAAATCAAAACTTCCAACATTGATTATGATGCAACATATTTACCTAACCAGAAAGCACAATAAAGAGATCTGATGTAAGTATATCTGTAAAGTTAAAAGAAAATTTAGTCACATGTGGTGCTATCAGTAGTGCTGATGAATATAAATACCCAAACTATTATTTAGTTTTGGAAACTATTAGGATCCCAATGCTGCTTTGCAAAATAAAATCATTTAAAGAAGAAAAATTACCACTGGCTGAGTACCCTGAAATGCTATCAGTTTATGAAATAGAGTCTCTAATAAAACCTAAGTAAATAAAACCACTAAGTCCCTGACAATGACAAACCTTATTTATGTACTTTCAGAACATAGTTTAGTTCATTTCTAAATACAGGCTCTTCATAATGGAATTCAATATTGATTAAAGACACAATTAATAAATCAATTTAATTCTGAAGCATTGATATTTTTTATTTTTTCAGTGAGATATTTTTTCCAAGTGAGAAATGTGAATTTAAGTTAACCCATCATTTATTCTCAAAAAAAATTGATAAATGATTTATAGCTTGTTGTTAAAATTTGAGTTTTCTTTCTAACAGAGGGATTCCTTTCCCTTCTTGAAAAATATATTTATTTTTAAGTTATATATACATTATGTATATCATATATATACATATATATTTAGGTAGGTAGGTACAGACATACATACATTTTTTTTAAAGACTTTATTTTTTTAGAGCAGTTTTAGGTTTACAATAAAATTGAGAGGAAGGAACAGAGATTTCCTATATACTCCCTGCCCCTACACATGCATAGCTTCCCCCATTACAGATGTCACTTACCAGAGTGGTACATTTGTTACCAAGGATGAACCTACATTGACACATCATAATCACCCAAAGTCCATAGTTTACTTTAGTATTCACTCTTGGCGTTGTACATATTATGGGCTTGGACAAATATATAATGACAAACATTCATTCTTATACTATCATATAGAGTATTTTCACTGCCCTAAAAATCTTCTGTGTTCTGCCTATTCATCTCCCAGGCCCACCTCCATTCCTGGCAACCACTGACCTTTTTACTGTCTCTATAGTTTTGCCTTTTCCAGAATGCCATACAGTTGGATTCATACAGAATGTAGCCTTTCACGTTGACTTCTTTCACTTAGTAATATGCATTAAAGGTCCCTCTATGCCTTGATGGTTCTCATGCCTTGATAGTTTTTTTTTAAGCATTGAATAATATTCAATCATCTGGATGCACCACAGTTTTTTATCTGTTCACCTACTGAAGGACATCTTGATTGCTTCTAAGTTTCTGCAATTATGAATAAAGCTGCTATAAACATCTGTGTGTAGGTTTTTGTGTGGACATAAGTTTTCAACTCCTTTGGGTAAATACCAAGGGGCATGATTGCTGGATCATATAGTAGGAGTATACTTAGTTTTACAGGAACTCTTCAAACTGTCTTCCAAAGTGGCTGTACCATTTTGCATTCCTATGAGCAATGTATGAGAGTTCCTGTTGCTCCCTATCCTCACCAGCATTTGGTGTTGTCAGTGTTCTGGATTTTGGCCATTCTAATAGGTGTGTAGTGGTATTTCATTGTTGTTTTAATTTTCAATTCCCTAATGACATATAAAGTGGGGCATCTTTTTATATGCTTCTTTGCCATCTGTATATCTTCTTTGGTGATGGGTTGTTTGTTTTCTTATTGTTGACCTTTAAGAGTTCTTTGTATATTTTGTATCACAGTCATTTATCAGATGTGTCTTTTGCAAACTATTTTCTCCCAGTCTGTGGCTTGTCTTCTAATTCTCTTGACACTGCCTTTCTCAGAGCAGAAGTTTTTAATTTAACTGATGTTCATCCTATCAATTCCTTCTTTCATGAATCATGTCTTTGGTGTATCTAAAAGGCATCACCACACCCAAGATTTTCTATGTTATCTTCCAGGAATTTTATAGTTTTGCATTTTACATTTAGGTATATGATCCATTTGGAGTTAATTTTTGTGAATGCTGTAAAGTCTGTGTCTAGATTCATTTTTTTTGCACGTGGATACCCAGTTGTTCTAGCACCATTTGTTGAAGAGCCTATCTTTGCTCCATCACACATACATTTTTTTTGTAATAAAGTGATTTATTTCGGTTTTACCAAAATCAGGGTATTCATAAAGACATCTAAAAATATCTGTATCTATTATATCAACAGTGTTCAGGAAGAGTAGCTGATTTTAGTGTTCAGCTTTTAATTTTTCTCCATCAATAATAGATAATCAATTCAAACCGACTGTTTTATTTTCTAATGCATTTATTTTCCAATGCATTTATTTTCCAGTGATTTATGTGCTCATTCCAAACAATTCGACCAAAGCAACCTCCACCCCTCAGCATTAAACATTTGATCAATGTAAGAGTTTCATTGTAGAAAATAGTGTTAAAAGTTTATTCATTCAGTGCACTCTTTAGAGATGATTAACTGTCTTTATTATATTAAAGCAAACCCAAAGCCATCTGCCAAAGGCGATTGTGTCCAAGCACTGAAACCATTTCATGTGAAAACTCATTTTCAGGCTCCTAATTATTTTTCATTATAGTGGCAGTGTGGAATAGATTGGAATTGGACAGTAATTGCCAGGTCTGAGCAGTGTGGACCATTGCAATGTATCAGTTTAGATGAAGTGTGACAAGGATACATCTAGCTACTATATAACTTCCATTAACCAACTTCCCTGTCCCTGATCATGTAACACTTCATAGAATGTGGTCAGCACAAGGTCATAATAATGGCTTTCTGACTGACTTCAAGTATTTTGTACAAGTGCAAGCTGTTAACCCTATGCGTTAGCATTGTTCGAGGAATGTTCAGTTATTACAGTTGTCAAAAATATCCATTTCTTCAGGAGGGACAAGTAAACTTTTTAAAAGGACAAGTTCCAAACCCAAGTTTGACTTCTTTCACATGTAATGTTCCAAAAGGAAAAACATGCCTAAAATTAAAACAATAATTTCATAGGATATAATTTTGTGGTAATTACTCAATATTATTCAGTCAATCTAGTATACTGATCATGAAAGCTCTATCCAAGCAGAAAACAGTCTCAGATTATTTCTACACATGCAATCAAGTCGATCATTTTTAAGCAAACTGACTAGTAAAGCAAAACAGCCATCCCTACATATAAACCCTTTCCATAAAGAAGTTTCCTTTACAACTGTAACACAGAATATATGAGTGATTCTCAACCAGGTGATCTGGCCCCCCCCAGGGACATTTGACATTGTCTGGATACATTTTTGGTGGTTGCAGCAGGGGGTGGTGCTCCTGGCATCTAGTGGGTAAAGTCCAGGGATGCTGCTAAACATCCTGCAATGCACAGAACAGCCTTCCCATAATGCAGACAACAAAGAATTATCTGGCCCCAAATGTCAATAGTGTCAAAACTGAAAAACCTTGGAATATATGTATTAACTTACATTCAATTTGTTTCCCTGATCCCTGAAGTGTAAAAATTATTCTTTCCTTTACGATTGACTTGTCTTGAATATTTGCCCTCTGTAGAACATTGTTACCCATATCATGTATTAATAGGTTTTCCCTCTATATTATAGTCCATTTTACTTGACATAAGTTCACACACACTACAAATTGAGATTTTTGACTCATGATCCTTTAATTGTCTTTCTAAAATAATTATTCCCTATAATCCTAGGCTATATGTATACCGGCAAAAGTCTTCTAAGGAAATGCTTTCCTTTCCAAACATAGTCAAATCAAATGTACCTGAGAGAAACAGTATTTCTAGTTTAATGTGGATCTTGAAGATGTTCTACAAGTGATGGGGTGGAATAATCTGCATTGAGGTCCATGGAAACACTCTTGTAATTTAGGCATACTTTTTACAATTTCTCTTTTTATATATTCTGTAATAGTCATATAGAAATGAACACAGTTAGCTGGCATTATAAGTATTTCTTCTATATGCTTGATCTCTTAGAATATTTATTTTCCAAGTGAAAAAATATTTTGTCAGTTGTTCTATACTCTTTATAATGATCAACATCTTTGTAAGTATTTCACCGGGTGTTTACACCTATAGTCTCCTCCACTATACTTCAAATTCTTGTAAAATGTTAAAGGCATCTAGATACAATTATCTTAAAATCTATTTAGAAATCTAGCATGTCCCATATAGTTTTATGACTTAAAACATGCTAAAATTTGAGAAATGTCTCCTCAAATATATAAATGAAACATTTTTTCTTTTGCAAAGAAGCTTAACAATATGGTTGAATTTAGGTAATTGCAACTATTTAAATAATTCAGTGAGAAATGAACTATTTGAACCACTAATTGAGGAGACTAGTTTTGATGAATGGAATTGCCCAAGTTGGAGAGCCATAAATCCCGACTTTCATTTAGTATTTCCAACTCTCTCCTCGACCTTGTGCTCTGTTCTAGGCAGTCTATTATGAGTTTAATCATAGGTTATAAATATATGTCACAACTGAGCTGATTAACACGTGGATCTACCTATGTATAGCAGAAAGGAACATGACCAAATGACCCAGCGAGAGTGCTGTGGTCCACAAAATGCACACTCTAGACCCCGCACACCATTCAGTCATGTTTAATTCCACTTTATTCACATAAATCTAGTTATACATCTTACTTGATGTAAATTATATGTGTCTTATAAATATAGATATATAGCTTAGGGATTCATCATCAGTTTCACACACGCACTGACCAAGTATCTATTTTTGCTTGGTATTGTGTCAAGCAATTTAAAAAGACATAGCTTCCGACCTCTAGAAATTCCCAATCTCTACGACTGCAGTAATGATAAGAATGATATGACTAACAAATAACAATAAAAAATGAGTAAAGAGAGAATAATGATTTAAGACAAAAAAGGAGTTAATATCAATATATTTAATCAACCTATTTACTCTTACATATAAACAGAAAAGACAAACAGTAAATAGAAAAATTAGTATATAATATGAAGTCGTTTCTGAGTAAAATAGATATATATGGCCAATAAAAACATGAAAATAATTTCTATCTCACTAGTAACCAGTAAATTGCAAATTACAATTAAGAAATAATCATTTTTTCCATTAGGTTGACATTACTTAAAAGATAGACACTAACTAGTGTGGATAGAACTGTAGGGGTATAAATTGGTAAAACAGAAGAAGTAAAGTAACTGGGTGATATATCTATCAAGCTTTTTGAAATATATATAATATTTGACCTAGATAATGTAGTTCTAATAGCATATTTTAAAGAAATCCTTACTCATTTGCAGAGAGATTCTTACAAATGATGTTCAATGTAGCATTATATTAGCAGCAAAAATAAATAAATAAATAAACAGAAATGACTGAAAATATCTCTTGTAGTCAAATAAATTATAGTATATCTGTCTAATGGAATGCTGTGTAGAAATTTAAAAAATAAGTATTTTTATATTTCAGCAAAACTGAGTGTTTTCTATGGTCAGGAGAGCAATATAGAGGCAGAGGAGAAGAATAAAGGGGAATGTTCACTTCATTGTTTAGCTCTCACTTTTAGTTTCTTTTTTACAATGAGATTGTTTTGTGTGCTACGTAATGTAATTTGACATGATAGATGAAAAGGGAGGAATGATATGATTCTTACACTTGCAAATGTGACTTTAATGATCATATCCATGTACAAGGGGCAGCTTGTTTCCCTGCAGGTTTTTGGCTTCCTTTGACTCTTTAAGGAACAGGGTCTTGATAAAAGAGTAAAATCCCATGTTCCTCCCATGCCTGCTTCTGAAAGCAGACATTTTTCATTGACAGGGAGGTCAGCCTGCGTTTCTGTTCCAGTATTTCTTTGCTTCAACAGCTCAACATAATCTTCACATGTAAAACCACAAAGCAATATGGAAAGAATATACCAAGGTAGACAACTTTTTTTTTTTCCCATTTTAACTGTTATTAACCAAAGTGCAAATTCATCTTGGTTTTATCTAGGCTCGACTAGAATGCTTCTGTGTAATTTATCCTAAATCTTAATTTAAGATTAAAAGCTTTCTCTGGATCTACAGACTTTTATAGATAAAGCTGCCATTGACCATGGTATTAAATCAGAACACAATGTCCCCTTGGCAACAGGACTTTGACAGTAGGGTAATACTACACTTAGACTTTTGTCTAAGGAAATCATTTTCTTTTTGGCTGAAACCACTAAAAATATACTCTAAAAGGATCGAAGAAATAACTAAAAAGGGACTCAAAGTATCATCATAAGAGGAATATTTCCCAACTTTCCAAGTTTAGAAAACTTAAGAAGACAGATGGAATTGTGGGGGATTGTGTGCCTTTAGGTTGAGCCACTGAGGGCATCATAAACATGATGCATGTAAAAAACTTTTTATGACACCTAAAAAACTGAGGTGTTAAGACCATGAGGTTCTGGGTCAGACGACCTTGGTTCATATCCTGCCCCAGTCCTGGGCTAACTGGGTGATCTCGACCAAGAGAGTGTCTGAGACTCACATCACCACTTGTCACATTTAGGTAGCACCAGGACATATCTCATGGGAGAATTAAATCTAGGGAACTGTGGGCACTATTATTATTATTAATATGATTACTCTAAACAAGCTTAAAGTGAGAAATAAATACATTTTCAAAGGCAAATTTCCGTTAAAGTAATGGAAAAAAAAATCTGGGAAAATATATTCTGCTCCCAGGGTACTCTCCTAGAAACGGATGGTTTTGCACCACAGGATAAGTCATATGAAAGAACTACAAATGTTTTGTCAAGGATTCAAGTTCCATAGTTATTTTAGCT